AAAATGTGAGGGGAAAATGGGGAAAATGTGAGGGGAAAATGGGGAAAATGTGAGGGGAAAAAAAGAGGGGAAAATGGGGAAAATGTGAGGAGAAAATGTGAGGGGAAAATGGGGAAAAAAAAAAGGGAAAATGTGAGGGGAAAATGGGGGAAAATGTGAGGGGAAAATGTGAGGGGAAAATGTGAGGGGAAAATGTGAGGGGAAAATGTGAGGGGAAAATGGAAAAATGTGAGGGGAAAATGTGAGGGGAAAATGGGGGAAAATGTGAGGGGAAAAGAAGAAAATGTGAGGGGAAAATGTGAGGGGGAAATAGGGAAAAATATGAGGGGAAAATGGAGAAATGTGAGGGGAAATTAAGGGAAACACGAGGGGCAAATTCAGGAAAGACGAGAGGAAAATGGGAAAAACGGGAGGGGAAACGTGGCAGGGGAGGTTTTTGGGTTTCAGGATGGTTTTTGGGGGCTTTTGGGTGTTTTTTGGGTGTTTTTTGGGGTTCCAGGGTGGTTTTCGAGTGTTTTTTGGGGATCCAGGGTAGTTTTTGGGTGTTTTTTTCAGATTCCAGGATGGTTTTTGAATGTTTATTGGAGTTCCAGGGTAGTTTTTGGGTCTTTTTTGGGGATCCAGGGTGTTTTTTGGGTGGTTTTGGGTGTTTTTTGGGGATCCAGGGTCGTTTTTGGGTGTTTTTTGGGATTCCAGGGTGGTTTTTGGGTGGTTTTGGGTGGTTTTTGGGGTTCCAGGGTAGTTTTCAGAAGTTTTTTTGGATTTCAGGGTGGGTTTTGGGTGTTTTTGGGTGTTTTTTAGGGATCCAGGGTGGGTTTTGGGGATCCAGGGTAGTTTTTGGGTGGTTTTGGTGGGTTCCAGGGCGGTTTTTGGGTGGTTTTGTCTACTTTTGGAGTTACAGGGTGGTTTTTGGGTGGTTTTTGGGTGGTTTTTGGGTGGTTTTTGGAGTTCCAGGGTAGTTTTTGCGTGTTTTTTTGGCTTTCAGGGTAGTTTTTGGGTGTTTTTTGGGATTCCAGGGTGGTTTTTGGGTGTTTTTGGGTGATTTTTGGGGTTCCAGGGTAGTTTTCAGGTGTTTTTTTGGCTTTCAGGGTAGTTTTGGGGTGTTTTTGGGTGATTTTTGGGGTTCCAGGGTAGTTTTCAGGTGTTTTTTTGGCTTTCAGGGTAGTTTTGGGGTGGTTTTGGGTGTTTTTGGGCGTCTCTACTCACGAATCTCTCCAGCTCCAGCCGGGCCGGGCGCTCGGCGCTTCGCTCCTGGCGCTGGGCAGGGAAAGGGGAGAGCCCCGAGTGACCCCGAGTGACCCCGAGTGACCCTGAGTGACCAGTGACCCCGAGTGACCCTGAGTGACCACTGAGTGACCCCGAGTGATCCCGAGTGACCAATGAGTGACCAATGAGTGACCCCGAGTGACCCCCGAGTGACCACTGAGTGACCCCGAGTGACCCCCCGAGTGACCCCGAGTAACCCCGAGTGACCCCGAGTGACCACTGAGTGACCCCCGAG